AAGATTTCTCTTGCTTACATCTTATAACAAACCTTTGAAGTTTTTTTTCGCCTCGGAACGATATATCACAGAAGGTATTTTATAGGCCTCAAGTTTTTTGACTGATTGAAATTAAAAGTATGTGGCAGTGACTTCCACAAGTTTTTTTTAGGTCAGAAAAGTATAATTGTTTTGTCCGCAATATTAATTTACGGAAGGATTCAATCGCCAATGTTTACATATTAAAGATGATTGTATTAATTAATCGAATTTAAACAATCGACCAAAACTCTTACTGTTCCCAAGGGTTGTTGTTTTCATCAGTACTTTAAAATAGTAGTGATTCGCGGTACTAGGTTTGTACTTTAAATAAATATATATATATTATAAGTTCACTCGAAAGATGAGAATAAACTGTAACAAGCTTATCGTTGATGCGCGGCCAGTACTTCAAATCTGACTGACACTCGATGCCAAAACTCAACCTCGTTCCCTGGATATGTCCACCACATTAATTTTTTTTTAACGGTTACAAAACTTTATTCCACGCACATCAGTTTGCCATCTCCACCCGCAAGTAGCAAAAGCTAGACGAGGCGGGCGGAGAGGTAAGGTTACAGCAGTCATAACAGATAATATAATAATTGTAAAGTAACTAACTACCTAACTAACAAACTAACTAATAATTGTAATGTAACTAAGTAAGCTATCTGGATAAATAAGAATTACTGAAAAACAAGCTAGGGTTACAAAATATATAGTCCGCTTACAGAATAGTATTACAATCAAATTTACTCCTAACAGAACCTATCGATTATTAGTACATTGATTCAAGGATACAGAATTTGCCATTTTTTGTACAAGAATGGGCACTTCAACATAATCGTCCTCTGCTTCCATTATCGATAGCAAAAAGTCATGAAAATTGTTCTTAAAAGCTCCTTTGGAGAGTTGATGAAATTCGTTAGAAATTGCGTTCCAAAGTTGAACTCCAAACCTGGAAAAAGAATCTTGATTTAGATTCGGTCTTGAAGTTTGAACATAATAATTTCCAGACGAAGAAAACCTGGTCTCATGCTTGTGCTTTGAATTAGCTTTAGTAAAGAAGTCACAGATGTTAGACGGAGCATTCATGCAGGAAACGTCAAACATTATAGAAGATACTTTTTCAGCATATAACATTTGTAAAGGCAGAATTTTTGAGGAAATAAATAAAGGCACAGTATGGGCTCTAGGTTCAGAAAAGTATATCAAACGAAGAACTCGTTTTTGAAGCACGAGAATTTTTTGTAAATGGGTTTTGGCAGCTTGACCCCAAACCGCCAAACCATGTCAGATGAGAGAAGATCAATGATTGATAAATATCTAAAAGGATTTTACGAGGGAAGAAGTGCCTAAGTCGGGCAACAACACCAACAGTTCTGCTTATTTTTAACGCAACATTATCAATTTGAGATTTCCAACTTAAATTGCTGTCCAGTAGGACGCCAAGATATTTAACATGGTCTTCACACTGAAGCGTGGTAGGAATTTGAGTACAGTTATCAATCATTTTAATGTTAACCACGTAGTTCAACTTACGTTAATATGGACGAAAGATAACATCGTTTGACTTTTTAGCATTGAGCGTTAACATATTTGCATTGAGCCAGTCAGAGACTTTGAGTAGTTTGCCATTGACGTTTTTTTCAAGAGATTTCAAATTACAGTCAGCATACAACAAGCTCGTGTCATCAGCAAATAGATAGAATGACAATTTTGCTGAAGAGTTATGAATATCGTTAATATAGATTAAGAATAACAGAGGGCCAACTACAGACCCCTGCGGGACACCGCATGAGATCATACATTCGTTAGATAAGTTAAAACCTACTTAAGTTACTTGTGAACGACCGAGAAGGTACGAGGCAAACCAAGCATTGAAAATTCCTCTGATGCCATACTGATGAGGTTTTTGACGCAAGATTAAATGGTCGACGGTATCAAAGGCCATTTTTAAGTCTAAAAAGACTCCGAAAGTGAAACTTTTTTGGTCCATATTGTTTTGTAAGACATTAACAATATCAATAATGGCATGTTGTGTGGAATGGTTTTCGCGGAAGCCATACTGCAACTTAAATAGAATATCATTTTCACCAAGGTAGGATTTGAGGCGGTGGTACATTAATTTTTCAAATATCCGATTCAAAATAGACAGCAATGATATCGCACGATAATTACCAGGGTCAGTGTCTTCATCATTTTTGTACACAGGAACAACTTTCGCTTTTTTCAGTTTAGATGGAAAGATGCCCTTTTGCACAGATATATTTATGATGGTGGAGAGAGGGTTCGAGATCTTGCGTCAGTTAAAAATTCGAATCGGACAAGAGTAGAGAACGTAAGTTTTATTTTTAGGGATCAGAAGTATCTCACGCTCAATTTCCTGTGGCGTAACTGGATCAAAGAAGAAAGAGCTTGGATTATAATTAGGAGACAAGTATTCGGATATTACTTTATAACATAACCAAGGTAAAGCGCGCGCTCTGATTGGTC